AATAGCTTCCGTGCAGCACAAACAGATCAGATATGCACTTTCGTACAGGAATTGAAACAACCTCCTACGTTTGCCAGTAGGCTTTCTAAATAAGCGGCCACACAAAAGCCACGATACCCCCAGCTCTCGCAAGCACCTGCCAGCCAGAAGAGCCCAAGGCAATGTAGCAATCTTCATATCTTGTTAGCGTACAACAAGAAAAAGAGCGATACATTTTGTCGTTTACCTTCCTTTGTCGATTTGACATGGACCGGTAGAGATTTAGATGATGAGGCCACCCCCCTAGCGATCAGAGATACGTCGTCGCCTAAACTAGCGCAGATCCGCCGCCTGCAATCTCCATCTCTGCAGTGGACCAATTTCTTTCCCTCTTGCACGCTACTGGCCTTTCGGTTATCCCACAGCCTAACATTCATCTGAAACAGGCGACTCGTTTCCGCAAATCTGGCGACCGACGCCGGTATTTCAGCCGTGCCATTCCTTCCTGACAGAGCCGGCCCCCGCGGGACCGCTGGGTTCGCCTGGACGCGAACGCCATCTCCACAGACCGGAGACAAATCACGGGTCAGAGGCGCACTCAGGCCTCATGGCAGGGGGGAAGGGGATGATTAGCATTTCTGAAGTTACTGAGGATAGACCCACGAGTGAAAACGGCAGCGCGTTCTTTTTCAAGGTCACATGACCGCTTCGCATGACGGACCGCGTGACCTTCCCGTGAACCCGCCTGGCTACACCCCTGGTGTGACGCAGAGACACGTCAGCGCTGTCTGCCAGCCGTGACCAGAATACGAACAGAACCAGAATACCGGCTCCCCGTCCCCTCCCTGACCCGCGGACCGGGCAGACGGGATCGCCACAGCGCCGCTCAGAACAGGGACTGTTGGAGGCCGGGCGCAGGGCGAAAGTCAGCAGTTTTGTAAATGGTCACGAACTGGACGCCGATCGATGCAAATGTACGCCGTCGCACCCAAATGGCGCTGCCATATCGCTAGGATGGCGCTGCCATATTACTGGAAAGAAGTTGTATGCAGCATCGCTTGTAATTACAAGATAACTTGCGGGGTACAGTTCCGCGACATTTGGCTGAAACTGCGGATGGCACTTCGTCACTATGGCAGGAAAGTTTGACGGAAAATTCTGTAGATTGATAAGCCTACCTCCGCTGCCAGAAGAGAAAGTGAACTTCAGGAACGTTAGCAAACTCAGTTCGAGAATCTGTTATGATCTCATTCTGTGCAGTTCGATGTGCCGTCATTTGATAATGATCTTCCAGGGTGTTGATTTTGGAAGGCGGCACGGTTGGGCCAATATCCAGGAGAATATTTAGCAATTTTGGTTGGTTGGGTGTTTGGATGTTGCCGATGCTAGAGACCTGAAGGTCCCTTCAAACCGGCCTATATTCTGAACTCTATTACTACTGTCATCGGGGCTCAACGATGCTCTCGGCTGCTGAGGCCATATGACGTCGCATTTGTCTCACCCTGGCAGAAGGGGCGGACGTCGCAGGGAATCGAACCCCGCACCTCTGGTTTCCCAATTCCTGGGAAATGGAAACACGCCGGCAGGCACTCACTTCTCCAGCATGGACACGTGTTTGGTGGTGAAGGCGCCGGCAGTCCGCACCCGCTCCGACAGCTGCTCCAGCAGGACGCCCCGCTCGTGCGCCTTCAACACGCACTGGCGAAGCACCTCCCCCAAGTACTTGCCTCCAAAGTACTTCTCGAACCTGGGGACGAGGATGGTTACCGATGGCGGGATGGTTACCGATGGCGGGATGGTTACCGACTGGGCGGACTTGAAGGCAGAAATACCAAACTTGATACCAAATACCGAACCAAAACTACCAAACCAAACTTGTGACAACGGGGCGCCTGGAATGGGTAGAAAGTTATTCAAGAAGCCCAGGGACACTTCTGTCGGTGCTCGCGGGCAGCACCGCTACCTTGGTCCATAAGGAAACGCTACCATTGATCACCCGTTGCTTGCTAAGAACACCATAATGGTCAACGAATTACAGCAGTTTGGCGAATCGACCATGCTGGGGTGCAGGACGACGTATCGTGTGCTAACAATAGTTGACTGTATCCGCGCAGGTATTGATCAACACTGTTGCCGACCCATTCTGGACAATGACGGCCACGAGGTACAAACGTGGATGGAAGACAAGTTGAAATCGATTTGGCAGCTGATGTAGAGTACACACTCAAGCCGTTGTGCTCATTTCATTGAGTGTGCATGACAAACGTGTTCATGCTTCGTTGGTCGTGCCAGGTGAACATAATTTGGGCTCCTCCGGGTTTGGCACGGACACATAAAAAGAGTGGTGGACAAGCAAAGGACAAACTCTGGATGTCCAAGTCTGCAGAATGGCGTTCGTTGAAGTTAACGACATACAGAACAAGTAGCGCAAAATTGTGTATCACATACACTATTTGAGGGGCTATTTATAACAGGATTAGTTGCCCAAATTCCGACTCATATGATATCCCCGCGCTTTCGTTACATATGAATTGATAAACTTTGGTTAAGCCAACAGCTCGTTTGGCTTTTTAGATAAGGTGTACCAAAAGCCAAACAAGTATGTTGACTACCCTGCACCCGTCGCCGTCAGACAATAATTTCACGGAGCTTACAGATAGATCAGTATACTTATGTCCGCTACATTTGTATACATTCTATTGGGCACATATTCTGTTGCCCATACATTTCATTTCATAGCTATTTCATTCAACAAATATTTCATTTTGCGCATACAGCGAGCTTGATTCTAGAAAAATTTTGTTTTAAGCAAGCTGTGTTACAGATTTGCTATTTTTGGAAATTCTTGCGCCACGTTATGCTACATTGTGTTACGTTACGTTCTGTTATGTTTCCACAGGTATAGATATTAACAGATATTGTATATAGCCCATTTGCGGATACTGACGTGAATGAGTGGACCAGCAGGGAGAGTTCGTCCACAGCCTTGTCCACATCAGTCTTGACAAAATCTAGCACACCGTTGTCGCCGAACGCACCCCACTCAATGTCGACCACTACCTGAAACAGAAGAGGTGGACGATCACTACCTGATACAGAAGAGGTGGATCTCGATCTCCATTTTTCAATTAACGGGATGTTTGCTCAGTAATTGTAAAGACGCGACGAATGCGAATGCAATGACTTAATGACGTCTCGTCGCCATGGGTCGTTATGTGCCTAACAGCACGTAAAAGCCTATGAAAGAGCATGGAACACCGACGGACGTACCTCCTTGATACCGTTGTGTTCGCCCTCCCATTTCCGGACCCGGTCCACACGCTCGATGTAGGCGGCGTTGCTGCCGGTACCAAGAATGACTCCGATGGCGCAGCGGGCATCCAACGCAGCGCCTTGCACCAGCGTACCTGCCGTGTCAAGGTCATGTCAATTTTCCTGTCATTTTAATGTATTTTTGTTTGAAGCGTGTCCACTCAACGTGTGTGTGTCCAGCCGTACAAGAGAAACCCAGCATAAAGCTAGATACACATATGCAGCATACAGATAGATACATATATATACAGCATACAGATAGATACACATATATACAGCATGCAGATAGATACACATATATACAGCATACAGATAGATACACATATATACAGCATACAGATAGATACACATATATACAGCATGCAGATAGATACACGTATGCACAGCATACAGATAGATACACATATATGCAGCATGCAGATAGACACACATATATACAGCATACAGATAGACACACGTATATACAGCATACAGCTAGATGCACATGAGTTGGCGATTTAAATTGGCCTAGAATGCCTGTTGCGAAGGATTTAGGCCAATGCCTGGTGCGAAGGGCGTTCCGCGCGGAACGCCACTGCCGGTAGCCGGTTCCACGCGGCGGCGGCGGCACGGTACGGAAACTGCCGCTGGGTGGCGGCCAGCCGACACCGCCCGGAACAGCCCCAGCTTGACGTTGGGAAGACTCGGTGCGCGTCACAAACAGCGCTTAGTGCACTGGGGGATTCAGGGACGTGCAGTGCCCTGTACACATTACGGCAATGCCCGTGTGGCACAAGATCGTCATCATCGTTGGGGATTTACGACTGACACAGCTGCTGAGGCTATATGACGTCGCCTGCCTCTCACCCTAGCGGGGAGGCCGTAGGAGACGGAGGGTGGGGGGGGGGGGGGGGGGGGCACACGATCCGCGACGTTACGTCAGCCGAGCGCTTCCAGGACGGGAGAAATGTGCTCGTTGCGACGGACACCACTCACTAGCCTGGCTGAGATTTTCATCACCCTTGGAAACCCCGTCTAGGTGGCACTCGGCCGCTCCACGCCAGACGGACAGACAATAAAATATATGGGGGAAGGCGTGCAATTTAGACAAGGATCTTCAGAGCCCCAGGAGTGAAGTCGCGTCGAATTTTAAACAGTGATACGAGAATTGCATTCCAGCGCCGAGGGAATGAGGAGATGTGGGGTTCATAAGTGAGGCGGTCTAGTCAAGTTGCGGCCGTGTTTTCCCCGGCGAGGTCACCTGCCGACGGGTTAAGGACGCATCATGGTGGGTCAAGGTCACAGGAAGTCTGTTCAAGCTCTTATTTCATCCACTGGGGGAACATTTCATCCGTTCGAGGCTTTATTTCATCAGACAGAGGAGTTGGACAAAATTAACCATCAGTATAAAACTTGAGACGACACGCTGTAAACACAGCACTCATTTCACAGCACTCACAACATTAACACAGCACTCATCTCACAGCACTCACAGCACTAACACAGCACTCAGTTTCGGTCAACAGATTGTGGCAAAAGATAGCTAATCTCACACCACATTAGTTCGCCGGCGTCCTAATGGACTAATCTTTCATCAAACGTTCAAGTTTTATCTAATGGCGTCCATAACCCTTTCAATCACCAGTGACGTAACCTCCTAGCCGGCCGTCCCCACGGGCGAGATAAGATTAACCTTGGCTGGTCACGACGTCTTAAGCGCTTCGCGTCCGGTGCTCGTGCTCAGCTCTCACCATCACGGGAACTGAGCGGCGCGATGCAGAGCGAGAGCAGCTGATGAGAGCTGGCTGCGCATTGGACCCGATCACGAGCCGGATGCGTAATCAGCTGAAGCCGAACACGAAGCGACTGCTGCGTATGTTTGGGAACCGAACATGCCGGCCGCTAAACGAACCCGACACTGGCAGTGACGTGTTGCATAAAATGCGTTCATAAGCTATGGCAACGCAGTGGTGTTAAGAAAAGTAAATATGTTAAAACCAGGCGCGAGAAAGTACGTTAAACTTTAACCTACATTACTGTTAGTGTCATGGACAGTTGGCAACAAAGAACCCGCCGAACATTAATGGAGAAGGTTTTGAGTGGCATATTGAGAGTGCCGCTATCGTTCGTACTATCTGGCGCGAAAAAAAGTCGGGCAGTGGGCCACATGTTCTCATTTCAAACACATGATTCAAGCTAATCAATACATTTGCCCGCTGGTATTTTGGACTGGATGACGCCATTTCTGGCAGTGAAATAATCGTTGCACGCTACAAACTACAGACGACCGCGTGCTTGAAGAACATGAATATAAGAATATTCACGCCGAGCATGCAGCCGCAGCCAACGTGATAATCGTGCCCGGTTTCCAGAGCGAACAAATGACAAGACTGCTGGGCGGTGGTGGTAAATGTATAGCAGAGTCTGAAGTCATTGCGAAGGTGTTCGCCTCATGAGATACGTTATCGCACGCCAATATAGTATGCATTCAGGCTGGTCAGCATGGAAGAACGCCTTAACGTCCATGCAGTGTGGTACGCGGCGCGTCGAGCGCTTTATCCTGCTGCTCCGAGTGCTGCCCAAACGTCGTCTTCTGCTACAAACCCCATTTCACTGCGATCTAGCAAGGAGAGGATGAATTCTCATGGCTTCCGCAACACCTTTCGCGTGGCCAAGTGCATCATCAAACGTCATGGCGTTTGTTTCCAGTTTCGCCAAGTGAGACAGTCGACAGACGGAGGGGAAAGGTACAATGAGCACAGAGTGCCAGACACAACACGCGTTTAAAGAGACATCTGATGTCGAGAGAGTGCAGAGATTGAGGAAAGCAACGTGACTTCCTCGTGTCTGATGAGGTTCTGAGCTTGAAGCTGAAAGCACCCGTCCGCTGCGTCCAGTGGTTCAAGTTTGCGGCTCCAGCACGCAAATATAAAACGAAGCCAGCTCCTGTCGGCTACAGAACAGCCCAGGGCAGAAGCCTTCAGGGCATGAATGTTCCCAACAATGAGCTTGGCGATCGGACACAGCGCCCTCCCCCCCCCCCCCCACATCGCCCTCCCTCACAGTGCCCTCCCCCACAGTGCCCTCCCCCACAGCGCCCTCTTCCCACAGTGCCCCGCCCCACCAGCGCACTCCCCCCCCCCCCCCCACCAGCGTCCCTCCCCAGCAGGTTCAGTCTCGAGGCGCACCTGGGTCGCCTCCATTGATAATGCCGCCACAGGTGCCTTTCGTCCCCTGCACGGCGCGTATGTCAACGACCCTCGGGGAGGGGGGGGGAGGGTGGCCAACAATGTGACAGAAGCTGCTGGGGAGTCAAGACGATGAGGATGGCAGCTTTGCACCCCGCGGATGCGTACATGGGCAAGGTTGCAGCAGTTGCTTGTCTAATGTGCGATATGCTTGTATCTAGCTTACTGCATCTGGCATTAACTTTCTTAATTCCAAATGCCAAACATTCCTATCTCAAGCCCCAGCGACCGCTACTGGGATCGATCGATTACCGGGCATGCAGGTTATTTTTAGTGGTTCCAACGTGCCCGACGAAGTCATGAGGGTGAACAATCCAGGTGTTTCTCATTAGCCACAATAACGGGACACGCATGCTCGGACACACACCATTCAAAACAAGCAACAACGACGATATGGAGTGGGAGTATTGATTTGTGAGCATAAGGGGCGACAACGGGCACGAATGGCTGGCCACCTGTCTATTTTAGGACGCGAATGGATCGGAACAACGATTGGTGTCGGCGGATCTGAAAGAAGAGTAGACGTCGAGCGCATGAACATGCTGAGTCACGCAAATTGCGTACAATGGCGATCACATAGTGCAAATGTGGCACAAACTCCGCACCTCGGAAATGCAGCGTCGCCTTGATGCGATGCCTCACCCGCAATCGAAGACATCGTGTCGAACGGAAGACAGCCGCCCTTGATGGGCTGACACTCGTCCTTGGTTTTTGTTAGGCTAGATTAGGTTAGGTTAGGTTAGCTTAGGTTAGGTTAGGTTAGGCTAGATTAGGTTAGGTTAGGTTAGGTTAGGTTAGGTTAGGCTAGATTAGGTTAGGTTAGGTTCGGTTAGGTTAGGTTAGGTTAGGCTAGGCTTCTTGTTTGGCGAGTTCGTCAGTTACACGGATTCACGGTTTTACGCTACTGTGTTACACGGATTCACGGTGTTATGGCACGGTGTTATACGAATTCACGATTTTATGCTGCGGTGTTACAGGGATTCACAGTGTTATGCCACGACTTTACACAGATTCGTAATACAAATTCACAGTGTCATGTCACAGTGTTATACGGATCCGCGGTGTGACACGGTTTCACGGTGCGATGTGAATTCACGATGTTATGTCACGGTGGCCACGGATTCACGGTGTGACACAGATTCACGTTGTGACACGGATTCATAGTGCTGTGCCACGTCGTTACACGAATCCACCGTGTGACACTGATTCAGTGTTGTACCGCGGCGTGGCGTGGATCCATGGTGTTTCGCCGGTCGCACGAGAACCAACGAGCCGCCGGCGGCGCATCTTGAACCCGAAGCTGCACCCAAAACGGGCGCCGGTTTCATTTCCTGCTGAGCTGTCGTGGGCTGTTGTCGTTGCCCTTGGGGTCTTACGACGCACTGAGCTGTTGACAGCTATACCGTGTCGTCTGCTTCTCTCCGTGGCAGGAAGGGCGGGCACCGCGGAGAATCGAACCTCGTACCTCTGTGTTGAAGCTGTTCCCAGAGGAGCAGCTTCAACACAGCCCAACCGGCACCCGTGCTGTCTCACTCTGACGTGCACAACGTGCACGTAAGACGTGCACGACGTGGACGTTAAACGTGCAGCCCGTTCCGCCGCGTAGGAAGACGTGCAAGGCACGTCTTTCTGCGTATCCCACCATGATAACAGTGGCGCAGAATATCGGCGCGTATCGCGTCATTTGCTGATAGTGGGCACTCGATCGGCGCTTAGCCACGCCCGGCTATGCTAACGTTTGCGCGAATATTCCCCTGATGTTGCAGACAGCTGTGGACTACTCCACGAGGTGAAACTCGCAAGGAAATGCTTCCACGAGCCAAGTGAAACCGCGCAACTGATGATTCAATGACTCAATGATAATCATGTGGTGGATGTTTAACCCCAGAATTCCCCTCAGCGAGGCAGTTTTGAAAATAAGGAGAAAAGGTTACATGTGGGTGGCACTCATTGAAGGTCAACATGTATCATCTGCGGTGTTATAGTAATGAGGTCAACTTGTGCCTTACTCCGTCGTTATATGCTGTCCTGACATGACAGCCCAGTGCGGACATGGTGAAAGAAAAATACTGTTCTGGGAGCGCCATAAACAAGTTCCAGCCTTGCATACGTGAGGACCCCAACTTCAGCTCTCACGGTTATTTCAGCCGCCGAAACTTAGCATTATACTCTCTGTGCGCGCCATGTGCGCCGTCTGAATCCTCAAAAGCGCACACATTCCGTGGACACCTGACTCTCCCTCTCCCCCTCCCTCTCCCATTCCTCTCCCCCTCTCCCTCTCCCTCTCTCTCTCTCCCATTCCTCTCTCTCCATCTCGCTCCCCCTCTCTCTCTCTCCCATTCCTCTCCCTCTCCCTCTCCCTCTCCCTCTCCCATTCCGCTCCCCCTCCCCCCTCTCTCTCCCTCTCAAAGAGAACTACTGACTCCGCCTCTGAGGCGCCTCGCCCTGATGGCCAGCTGACCTCACCTGTGGTGTCGTTCATGATGGCCAGCTGACCTCACCTGTGGTGTCGTTCATGATGGCCAGCTGACCTCACCTGTGGTGTCGTTCATGATGGCCAGCTGACCTCACCTGTGGTGTCGTTCATGATGGCCACCACGTCAACGTTGACGTTCCCTCGCCGTTGCAACGCGTCGTTCAGCATTCTGACGGCGTCCTCGCCCACGCAACCGGAGGCGTTGAAGGACTTAGTCCACGTCTGCAGCAGGCCCACGTCCAACGACTTCTGCGTCATCGGGAAGCTGAAGGTGAAACCTGAGCGAAAAGGCGGCAGTCAGGGTTTCCATCAGTGACTGCCGTAGCAGGTATGTGTTGTATTTTTGTGAGGCGAACCAGGTTTTACTTTTTTAAGTCAGTGAACGACGCGTGTAACTGCTGTGGTTATTGGCGTCACAGTAGCAAGGCAGAAACCCCGATCTGTGCAAGTTTCCTGCGATGGGAATCGAACTCTGGGACTCCATATGAAGTAAAGGCTGTGTTTCAGCCGTAACCTGTGAAGTGAAAATGCGAATGCAGTATGACGTACTGAGGTGGGAGGAAGAGGAGCTAAATGTGAACAGATGGGAGGAAGAGAGAGTATATGTGTACAGTTCGAGATGAGCACTTGGCAAGGGTAATGACATCTTCCTGGTATTGTGAAAATCAGTTTGAGCTGTGGTATAGGACCTGTTGCTGACAGCTGAGGGAAAGGCTGCTTATTCTGAGGTCCTCGACGACAACCGATGGAATGCCCCTACTTCGTAATTTCATACGAACGACGATTGCCGCGAACAATGTGAATGTTCTTACAGCAGTATCAAGTAAAACTGCACGCCCCTAACTGTGCGTTAAGCATGTATCTACTTAGGATTCCGTAGGCGGAAATAAGATTTGGATAACATTCGCTATCATTTTCATTATTTTTATTACTATTATTATCATCATTGGCATCGGCATCAGCATCAGCAACAGCATCATCATTGTATAGCTTGGCATACACAGCAAATACAGCATTTCAGAGTAAGCCCGATAGGTACATCAAGTTGCAATTCTTGTGTATTTAAAGTTTACAGTACAACACAAACCGGCAGAACTAAATGTTTCTGACTCAAAATGATCGTTTTCTTCACGCTTTGCGCTTCACCGTCGACAATTCCCTTATTTACGTGATTCGTTGGGTTCTCTCACTTCTTTGTCTGACGAGACTCGAACTACTTTACCCTCTCCTATGCCATGCCTTCTACCATCCCGAATCTACCTAGCGTTATCTTACCGGATCCTTTCCATAACCTTTCGCAGGATCATCAGGCGTTCTGTTGCACTTTTCACACCCGGTACGTTAACGGTCGTCTTTATGTGATAAGCACCAGCATGTTAAACGCAAAACATGAATACCAACACAGATAAGTAGGCAACCGGACGCATGATGAGCTGTGATGGCCCTTTCGCCTTTGTGGCGTGAGAGAACATGCTGCAAAGGCGACATGATAAGAGCGTAAAGACAGCAATATCGTGTAGTCCATTGCCATCCAAGAATGGATTCGAACAATAATGACAGATAAACAAAGGAGGTGAAGGAGATAGCAAAGGAGAACGGAAGAGAGAGAAAGAGAGACAGACAAGGAGAGAGAGAGTGAGATGGTGAGAGGAAGAGAAAAAAGAGAGATTGACAGAGACAGAGTGAGAGGAAAGGAGAGAAACGGAGAGAGAGAGAGAGAGAGAGAGAGAGAGAGAGAGAGAGAGAGAGAGAGAGAGAGAGAGAGAGAGAGAGAGAGAGAGAGAGGAGAGAGAGGTAAAGGAAGGGGGAGAGAGAGAGAGAGAGAGAGAGAGAGAGAGAGAGACGTGATGCAGTCTATGATGGCACACCAGACATTACATCCAAAGAAGAAGCTGAGAATAGCCTGGTCTTGCTCAATCTCTGGAAGATGTAAGCATACACTGGCATGCAAGCCGCTCTCACATCGCTCTCATTCATGTCGCTCTTATGCTGAGCCTCTGGGACACGCAGCGCCGGATGATTTCTACTAACCAAGTTAAAGTCACCTAGATACTCTCCAGCAGCGCGGCACGTTGATTGTCGGTGCTCTGTCACCAAGATCGACCGTTCGCTGCCATTTTTAGGTTCTTTAGTGACCTTGAAATTCTCTGACGTCACTGGGCCCCTGGTGTGGTAGAAGTCTGGACATGAGCCAGCCGGGAGACATGGCATTTGTCGTTCCGCCAACGGTCAGCCTCGAAGACTGGCACGCGTAAACTATCGATAACCATCGATGCCATACGTTTACATAAAAATGCCGGTCTTCTGAGGCCGGCAGCTAAATCCGGCGGCGCTGGATGGCGTGGCGCATCTGATTACACAAGTGCCATGGGCGCGTGACATGAGCCTAGGAGCTGCCCCTCAGACCGACGTACTGTCGCTAGCGTCTTGGCTTCCACGGCGTCTTTTGTTGCGGGGATTTCTAGACCAGGGAATGTGGCCGTGCATGTGGTAGGAAGCAAGCAGAAAAATTAGATAGAAATAATCAGAAATACATAAATTGATATCATATATACATATGTATGCATATGCAAACATATATATATATATATATATATATATATATATATATATATATATACATGGATATTCATTTGTAATAAACATATGTCTAGATGTATACACATATGTAAGCAAAGAACATGATCAAATATAAAATTCAGCATCCCATGATCTTTAAAAAAGGCGAAGTTTGCCCTGCATTTCCTTGCCCAGCTCAATGTGCTGACATGCCCACCTCTAACTGCCGACTTATCCAGCTCCAAGCTCTAAGTACCCACTTACCCAGCTCAAAATGGCGTCCGTCGGGATGACGCTCCTGCAGGAACTGATGCACGCAGGCGGCCAGAAAGTCAAACAGCCGTGTGCCCTCCCCCAGCCGGGTGGACTCGTCCACTTCGAACATCTGAGAAATGAAGAACGGCATGAAGATAACCGTACTGGAAAATAATGCACCACGCAGTTACCGTTCGGGTTGAGAGCTCAAACTCTCCTCCAGATGAAAGCATGCGCTATCAGAAACTTTCACCAAAAACTTCGCTTTTCGTGACGCCGAACCTCCCGAATATTTTTTTAAGCGTCCGACTTACCTGGCACGTGGGCAGTCACTTAGGCTAGCTCACTAGAGCTAACATGACCACCAGAAACACCAGGACTGGCCATACCGCCACGACGGCGAGTTTCAGAGGGCGTCAAATCGCTTGGTTTCATTGATACGTTTACTTCATCGAGACGGTTTGCCTTCCGCACAGGTTGCAGTGAAGATCGCTAAATCTTTTCTTGGATCATTTGATAGCGGCCTGACCTCCATGGCTTTCAACGTCGTGCGTAACGGCTCGCCAGATCTAGACGAATGTCACGCAACAATGTTTTGCGTGTGCGTTACAATTCTCTATCAATGTTCATTCTCCGTAAATCTGGCCATTCCGTTCGCGGAGAGGTTAATCGAATGTCGAAAAAAGGCAGCCCGATAATCGCCCCGAGGCAATGGTACGATCTCGGCGTCAGGGCGACCAGATGGTCATGGTGACGTCCGGACCTTGGACGCGTTACGTGTGTGCCTCGACGATATGTACCCTCGGTTCTAGTGCAGCAAGCATGAAAAGGAAGGTTACATTGGAACAGGCATGGCCAGGCCAGGCCAGGTCAGGTCAGGTCAGGTCACGCCAAGTTTGGTCAGGTTATATCAGGTTAGGTCCGACCAGACCATAGCAGACCAGACCAGACCAGACCAGACCAGACCAGATCGGATCAGACTAGACCAGAATATAAACGATGCATACCGAAAATTTGACTTAATCACAACTGAAACGGTAGAGAAGACGCGATCAACAAGTCTAAATCACACAAAAACGAACAAATCACAACAGAATGCAGCACAAATAAACTTTCGGTCTCACGAAACGATGCTAGCCCGCACGCTCTACCAAGGGCAGAATTCTGCAATCGTAACGCCAAAAACACAACTGGCGTTCGCTTATAGACATGCGATCACTGAAAATTGACCTCAGGTACCGCAGTGCCGATAATGACTGCATAAACCGGGCCCAGGTTATATGGGTTTATTACAGGCAAAGTTCAGAACAAACAATCTCACATCATCTCACATAAAACAGATCAGATCAGCCCAATGCGTCACGCGTATCAGAACCTGTGTCACGCAGACCAGGCTAGTGTGTCACACATATCAGTGTCTGTGTCACGTAAATCAGACCGGTGTGTCACGCACAGTCTGTGTCACCGCAGATCAGACTAACGTGCCACAAATATCAGCGTCTGTGTCATTACAGATCAGACCAGTGTGTCACACATATCGGAGCCTGTGTCACCGCAGATCAGACCAGTGTGTCACACATATCAGCGTCTGTGTCACTGCATATCAGACCAGCGTGTCACACATATCGGAGCCTGTGTCACCGCAGATCAGACCAGTGTGTCACACATATCAGCGACTGGACTGTATCACTGCAGATCAGACCAGTGTGTCACACATATCGGAGCCTGTGTCACCGCAGATCAGACCAGTGTGTCACACATATCAGCGTCTGTGTCACTGCAGATCAGACCAGTGTGTCACACATATCGGAGCCTGTGTCACTGCAGATCAGACCAGTGTGTCAAACATATCGGTGCCTATTTCACGCAGATCAGACCAGTGTGTCACGCATATCGGAGCCTGTGTGACGTAGATCAGACCGCACCAAACGACGCAGGCCCTCAACGCTCCCAACATCGTCTCACCCGGGCGTCCTGTTGGACGAACGTCCGTCCTGCATCACAGATGCATACGTCCTCACCTGAGCGTCCTCTTCGACGAACTGTCCGTCCTCCAAGCGCAGATACATGACCCGGAAGTTGGTGCCCCCCAGGTCCAGCGCCAAGAACTCGCCGGTCTCGTGGCCGTTGGGGAGCTCCGGGAGGAACGTGTTCTCCATCAGCAGCGACGACTGCTGCTGGCCCTGAGGGGTGCGGAGAGGGAGATCACTCCTCTGGGCATGTTCTCCCTCAGCAGCGACGACTGCTGCAGGCCCTGAGGGGTGCGGAGAGGGAGAAGATCACTCTTCTGAACCTGCTTCCCCCTAGATCAGGGTGACTGCAGCTGGCCCGGAGGCGTATAGAGAGGGGCGGTCGCTCCTCTGAACGTCATCTCTATCAGGACTGCCGACTTCCGCTTGATCTGCAGCTTACAAAAAAGCTCAACCCTCTAAGCATTCTCTCCATCAGCGGCTCTTCGACTACGACTGGCAGTAGGATGAACGAAGCGATATTACTCCTCTGAACGTGGGTCCATCGCCATACCTGTAACGCATCACACAAAGCCATAAGGTAAGTTACTTAGAACCGAACTCAGAAATTGCATGGCTGATTATAATTTGCGTGTTTTCCAGGCAGTAGAAGAGCACTAAACGGGCCAAAGGGCCAAAGGGCCAAAGGCCGGCGCCACAACACATTCCACTGCCTGTATTTTTTGTTTTGTTTTAGAAATTTGACCCCAACGCTTTGAGTGGATGGATTTCTGTATGACATTCTTCAAATAAAGCGAACAGAAGGTTGGCCCCTCCATGTCCGAAGATCAAAACCCAGCTGTTCGCAGCATGGTTTGTAATGTTCAATTGGAATCTAAGGCAGCTTATCGATAAACTGTCTTGACATTTTAGTTTCCTGCTGGTCAAAAGTGTATACATTGATTATTACCCATTTTACTCTGCAAAATAATATTGTAGGCGTCATTCGCCACCGTCAAGCTTTGCGAGTCAGCCTCTTTAAGACGCTTGCAGTCGCCACAGCTGCTCTTCATCTGAGTAAAACAAAGGCAAGTAATTATACTGACTTACCGTCTTCGCTATTTAATCACGTTTCAAACTCGTCAGCATGGAGGGAAGCTTCTACACATAGCGTGTGGCGTGGCCAACTCGAATCAACGTCCATCATCGACTGCGGTATCCCCACCCGGTTACAAACCTCCTTGGTCAGACCCAGTTCCATCTCGCTGAGGAAGACGCTGCGGATCCTCTGAACTTGCTCATCAGTTAGAGCGAAGATCAGAGAAGACATCCTCCACCTGCAATGGAAGTCTGGACTCAAACAACAAACCTACCGTCTACGAAGGATCGGGAGTGGATGACGTCATAAGTAACAAGTCCGAGTTGGGTCAACGATCTCCAGCATTCGAGTTGGAGCCGACAGACAGAGTTAAAGACTGCCGACAGAGTAAAGAGCTTAAAAGAGTGCCCTTCATCTTTGTGGGGTCTTGAACTGAAATAGCCATGTCTAAAACCATTCGGTGTTGTTCACAAGCCTGTCATTCTTAAGATCTAAGCCCCTCCTTTTTCGGAGCTACATTTAGCATTCGACGACATTTAAGTATTCACAGCACAAATAGGAAAGTAACTCTCCAGATACTTTTGACCTCATAGCTTCTGCTAGAGACCTCGTGACCTTGTGACCTGGTGACCTTCACAGCACAAATAGCAAATTAACTCTCCAGGTACTCCTGATCTCATAAGCTCTGCTAGGGACCTCGTGACCTTGTATTCACGGCATAAATAGCAAAACAATTATCCAGGTACTTTTCGCCTCAAAACCTCCGCTAGAGACCTCATGACCCTGGCAGCACAAATAGAAAAAAACTCTCCAGGTACTTCTGACCTTATAACTTCCGTCAGAAACCTCGTAAGATCTGATATGGTAGTATTGACCCTCAATGACTCACAGCCAAACCAATTAGCGAATCACACCCAAACAGCCCGGAGCAAAAACACCCACATGACCTGGACCCAGCACCGTGCTGTTTTTTTCTCGCCAGATTGCATTAAGTTAATCACCCGATGGGCAACGCGAGTTGGGTAAACCGCATTGGAATGGTCCGGAAGCTACTGATTGTTTCGGTGATGTTGTTTGAGATGGGTGTTCTTTGGCCGTGGTGCTACCGAGGGTCGATGGTGACAATAGGGCAGTGACTCTTCACCGCCGCACCAGTGCCAGTCAGAGCCCAAATCATGGCGGCTGATACGTGGCAGATTTTCAGTTCCTTGTTCCTCCCTCCCCCTCCCCCTCCCCCACTCCCAACCTGTTACCTCACACAGCTATTGCCCGGGCGGGCTTCATCTTGGGTCAGTTTGTTTACAGAACGCCTGAGGGCAATATTCAGTAAAAAAATTACTGGACAAAAATTCAACCGCCAATCCACGGCGCAAACCAACCCTTTTGATCTCTGAGCCCTCCCCCCCCCCCCCCCTTCACGCGTCTACAGGCATCCCGTGAGCCCTAAGCCATGCTGGCAAAACGCCAAGTCAAGCGGCCGCACGCTGCCTCTGACGTCATCACTGCGATCCGACAGTGACATTGGCGGGCTCATGGGGGAGGGGGCGGGGCAGACCGACGGCGTAGACGCAAATAGCGGAGTCGGTCGAGTGCCTAGACGATGGTGTTTCGTTGCGGACATTGGCGTCTTCAGGGTGCGGACACGTGAGGCACGCGCTCTTATCGCATCTCGGGTCGATCTCGGATCGGGTCTGGACTCGATAACGTTCGAACAGATTGGGACATTATCGTGTCTGAGCCACAATGCAACGGCACCGGCAAACAAATCGACCCCAGCAAAATATATGGTGTGGTTACCTTTATGATCGTGAGGACATGAACACGAAGTACGCGCCGTCGGCCTAGAAAAAAGACGGCAGACATTTGGGCAATGAGTCATGTTTGGCACGCGGGTTCGTGGTGTCTTAATTTAGCTGCATGATTGCTGAGTCGTTCAGTAACACACGCAGCGGATTTACAAAGCACTCTAACGCAACAATATGGTAATGAATAACAAGGATCATCAGTCCTGTGCTGCACCGTCAACTTGACTACTGTACGTTATCTAACGTGTTCTGGTACGCTGAGTTTGAGCACGACATCCTCGTTACCATGGTGAAAAATCCAGAGGTTATCGAAAGTCATCTGACGACTACGAAAGTGGCCTTTTTGCACGGCTACCATTCATAGGCCTGAAAAGTCACACAGCTGACCAATCAATGGTTGGGTTTCATTGCTTGACGTTCCATCGATGTTGTTTAACGTCCCTTTGATGATCATTCTGGGTATGATCGGCCATATATTCTCCTAATATCAATGAGCAGCTGATTCTGCTCACGGATGACATGTGATGATGACAAATGATGAATATGATGAGTGCATGTGATGCATGATAGGTGTCATCGGGGTGACAACGGTAATTGATTTTCCTTAGTTAAGTTTGATAATTTGTGTTGTTATTTTTTTCATCGGAAGCGATTTGGGCGCTGAAAGCGGCAGCCAGTGATTTCCTGGACTGCGCAGTAGGTTATCTGCGATTCCTTCTTTATTTCCCGGCTGCAGACACTTTCCCTCTGCCCAAACAGTTCTCTGAAATGAGTCAGGTCTAGTTCAGGCGTTCCCTTCAGCATACGTTGTGCATTATATAGGTATACACTGGGTTCCATGACGCTACTGAATACCTTTTACCCGTCTGCAGTGATTATGGTAATTATGGTACCACTGCCGTTTGAAATGCATTATTCTTATTTCTCTCTCGCATCCCATTTACCCCGGGATTAGCGCCTTCCATTTAAACCATTCCACTTACTTTTTACCTCGCCTAAATAACCCGTAAACACTCACGACTTCAATTTCATCCGTTACAATACCAGCAACCGTATGACAGGGTAGATCAAAGACCTGTGAGGTACGTATTGCTCACTCAAAGGATGTCACGTGTTGTCAAGGCAAGACAAGAACATCAAGAAGATGAACGAAATCATTACAATTAACCTATCATTTATTGTTGTTCGTCTACGGACAGTTCCAAGAAAGCTATCATTTCTGGAACACTGTAAGACCTTAACGGCCCCGACATTTTAAATTATGACATATAGAATATTATATGGGAGCTCAGCGTGTAAAGTTGTCTTGCATGGTGCTTGAATATCCATATTTCCATACATGTAGATGATTGAATGATGAATTAGATGAATTAGAATGAATTGAATACGTTGCTAGTTGAACACGTGCGTTGAATACAAAATAGAATTAGATGAATATCGCGATTTCCATACAAATAGATGACAAGGATCCCTATGATACCTGCGCGAAAGGAATGATCGTTTCACACTTGGGATGTCCGTTATCGCTACATCAAGCACTACATGGCGCGTCCAGACTGGAATCGATACGCTGACATTGTATCGCTTGGCGCGTGCAGACTGGATTGATACGCTGACATTGTATCACTTGGCGAGTCCAGACTGGATCGATACGCTGACATTGTATCGCTTGGCGCGTCCAGACTGGATCGATACGCTGACATTGTTATCAGCCACCCGCGCACCTTCCGTCAACAAACATACCACAGCCATGGAGACGGAGACCAGTGCCTAACTCAACTGTATACGGATGAAAATTGGCGTAAGCATGGTGGTCATGCCGACGGGCCTCTCGCTCCAATATACATCCGGAGGATACGTTTACGGATAGGTATGTACATACCAAGATAATATGTACATACCAACGGATCCAACGGATCATTCGTGCAAGCGCTCACTTAACACAAACAGCAGCAGACCGCGCGCGCTAATTGAAAGATCTCATGGCGGTGTGTTCTTGTTGACCCGATAAAAGCAGTCGACGATAGCAGCTGCAACAACGGATGTGTGTTAGCGGGGATGCACGTGGGGATTCGCCATGGGGAGCGAAACTAAAATTGTTACTGAAAGCATAGTTAAGCGGGCCGCAACCACGCGAGATTTCTGCAAGAAGAAAAGTTATATCACATCCTCGCAGTCTATTAAGTTTCAAGTGTCATCCACAGGATTTTAACCATCAAAAAGGTATCCCCTTGCATATCAACACGGGTGACAAATTGTATAAAAGGGAGAGGGAGCACTGGGCAGATGCTCCCCTGCATGGAAATCCAACCATTCCACATGCACACATGGCGTGTGAAAGGTTTTCCAGCCCCACGGCGAGTCGATTCCAGCGCAGCTTGTGCACGAGCTCCGCACGTGGCCAGTGCAAGGTCGCATACCACAGACGCGTACCAAACTGGCGGCGGCGATAAGCGCCCAGTTTGGTGTAAGGCCCGCGGCCTGTTCCAACTTTCCACAAGTTCAAACTTGGTTCAACATAGGCTCGACGCTATTAGGCGTTAACTTATTTGGACATAGACGACTTAATACGGGACATTGTTCAACTTAAAAGGACAACGACGCACGCTGTCACGATCCGTCTGTGGACCTCCAGTGACTGCAATAGCTACGTTAACGCGCAGGGGCCGTGGCGTGACCGGGATTCGAACCCGGACCCCCGCGCTCAAACCATCCGGCTATTACGATCCGGCACTGCTAACACGCCCGAGTGATGGATTGGCATCAGGACCGCAGGCTCTGGTCACTACGTAGCTTGATCAGTGCTCATTCAAAACGAATGCTTCCATTCCGGGGAGTTTTCCTCAGAAGCTTGAGCAAAGCATAGCGATCACAGTTTGGCTTGGATGAATTGTGGTCCACGAAGGGGTACCCTTTCAGGTAAAAACAGCCCGTCATCATGATGACCCGTCACCATAATCATAGCCTAATGATATTACAAAACATTTTTTGCTTTACAGCATGCTTACCCAGCATCTGCTGGAATATTGAAAGTCGATAACTCCGCATAAGGTCGCTGAATGCATGTCATATGCCAGATTCATCGTCGAACTCATTCAATATCGAACTTTCTATGCAAGCCGATGGCGAACATAAACGATGAACATCACGACATAGGCATTACATTCAAGTCACGATTTGAATAACCTTCCCCGGAAATAACGGAGCCGCGGCGTGAGTGCCGAGACTTAACGCGCTGTAGAACAAGCGGTTCCCCAAATAGAATGCGAAACATGCCGCCTGAGGAATACACAGGAACTGATACGATTATGATCCGATCAATACCTCTCGTCCTACGGCTTCTGTGCGATACTTGCGGACGAGAGGAGGTCCTTCAAAAAACCCATCGGACTGTTGATTCCGCTGTGATGTCGGGTTGTCATGACAACCTATT